CTCTCACGTACCTCTGATCTATTCAACTTGTCAGTTTGTTCCTGAGCTCTGTCCATGGCCACAGAAGCCTTTGTCTTAGAGTCTTGAGGACCACCACCTTTGAGCCTGGACCTTTTTTCTTACTCCTTCTCTTCTCTTCCCCCTTTTTTCTCCACCATCAACAGATTTTACTTCCTTTAGTGTCTGGAATCTGATGGGAGACTTAGTCATTCTCTACTCCTTCCAGTTCCACTCTTGGATGGAGGGAGGGCTCTGAGCCTGTGTAGAGGAGCTGACAGGGAGGTATCCTTCACAGTGGTCCTGTCACAGCATGACTGTCCCCAAAATACCATCAGGCGTTTCTCAGTGCAATGTTTAATCTCTCTTACTAGCACAGCTCCTGTAATTATTAGGCTAAAACATTTTTATTTCCTTCCCATCTTGAGTTATGCTTTAGAGGGCCTCCTTTTGCTTTGTTCTTCATCGTAGTTAGAGATAAAGGAAAGAATGCACTACACCTATGTGAAGCCCTGTTTTGACCTACCTATATGGAAGTCACTGTTTCCACAGGCATAGTTGACAGATAGGAAGAGGCTAAGGGATTAAGGGATTACTTTCAGACAAAATATATAATATTTGTCAAAATCCTTCACAGGGCCAGCAACTTGAACAAAGAAATCTGTAGCCCATTGATGAGATATTAAAGAGCACGCATGCACAAATGGTTTTAACTATAAAGCTGGCATAGAGATGAAACTGTAGTGAAGTGAAGGCAGCAGTACTTCAGGAATTTATTCCAGGAGAACAATCCCCACAGTGTCTGAGCCAGTTTGGTACCCTCTACAGCTTGTTTCTCACTCATGGGCTGGGCCTAAGACATTCCAAAGTCTCTCCCATCTTCTCTGCTTGATCTGTGCCTACCTTTGTCTTACGGAACTTTCAACCTCTGCTTGTCTCACCCACTCTTCAGATCTAGTTCTTACTCTCCACCCATTTCTTTGGACTTGATGTTTCAGACTTGCCCTTGTTCCCAGCTCACCTAAGCCAGGGATTCTGACACCAGTTCCCCCTTTTCCTGATCCCTGAAACCTAAGGTCAGTCCTACTCACTATCCTGCATCCCCCACGAACTGACACTCCAGGAACCAGCCCAAGCCAGGACTTTGAGTTTCTTCCTTTCTAAGCTTTAACCCCACAAACTCCATTTATCGAGGAGGCCAGACTTGAGAGCCAACATACTTAGAGCCTCATAAAAAACAAGTAAGAATCTAGCAAAGAGCAGTGTAGACTTTCCTGGGGTTTGAAAATGACTTTTGAGTCATTAAAACTTATCCTCTTGATTTAATAGAATGCCTTTTGCTATTCATCCATCCACTTATCTATCTATCCATTTCTCTGAGCTTTGAAACATTCAATTCAATACCTTGTAGTTGGAAGTTCATAATTTTCACATTAAGGAATTCTTCAGCAAAGATTGATAATATATGCTATTCTCAAGTAAGGCACTAGATGGAGCATGTGAATTTAAAGGAAATGTAAGCTGGTAATTGCCAGTGACAACAAATAATTTAATGAAAGAAAACTAAAAAAATTAAACCAAGTTATTTTTATTAATTTCAACTAAAAATGAATAAATGTTACATACACTCATGAGTGTAAGTGAATATATTTTTTAGTAATATTTTTTATGAGTGTATGTAAAGTCTAGGATAATTTTTAAAAAACAGATAAAAGCTGGAATAAGTAATTTTTTTTTTTTTTGTCTTCAGTAGACTCTACAAACCCCATAGCCAGAGGAAAATGAAGTAGGTGAGAGCACTAGTTGGGGAAAGTAGAGATGGGGCTAAGAGATTTTTTTTTTTTTTTGCTGGTTGAGAAAATGAAGTGATTTTGATAGAGTGGAAATACCTTTCATCAACATCAGCTTCTAGATTGCCAGCTTCAATTTTGGAAGCAAACAAGTCTAAGCAATTTGATTGCCAACAAGCATGGGGAGAGGTGATACATGGCTAATCACAGAGGGTAAAATCTTTCCAAAGTTGTTTATAAAATATTATAAGGGGAAGGTTCTTATGAGAATCAAGCTCAGATTTGCAGACAGCATCTGCACGGTTCCTGGAGATTAAATCTGTGTTGGCAGATAGACAATCTTCTGCAGGGTTCAAAAGATGACAGTTTCGATCCTGGTGGTATATTGCATTGTACATGTTCACCTTGAAAGTCACAGCTTTCTCTAGAGTTTATTTATTTGTGATATTGCAAGTGAGGTTTTGTCAGTATTTCCATTTTTGGTTGGCTGTAAAAATGTCATCCAGAATGAAGCCTGACATCCCTGTATGTCGTTTGGGCTGCCTTTAAGTTCAGGTCAGGAGTTACTGGAGGAAAAAAATAATCCATGGGAAACTTGCCATTGATTCAGTAGTATTTCAGATTTTGATTTCCCCAGTCTTCCTGTTACTGTTTACTTCTCAAAGTCCCATGCATTCTCTCTAAGGCATTTAGTTGCATTCAGTAGGGAGGCAGACTGGAGAGAGTTTACTCCATTTTGACTGGAACCAGATCTGTGGATGATTTTTTAATTCCTCATTTTCATTGTTGAAGATGTATAGAATAAACTCCAACTTAGCCTATTTCATACAGTTGTAGGATAGGGATTTAGAAAGGGGGTAAGGTAACCATATTTAATATGAGAATTTAATTATTTTTTTAAATGTATATTACATTTCATGTTGAGCTTCAAGGGAAAGAATGCTTAAGTTTTACATGAAGAGGATTTGGCCAGAAATAGGCACCCTCCTGCTGTTTTATTTAGCGAAGTGCCTAGCTAGAAGTAAGCAGCTCTGAGTTTTAGTAAAAATTTGTATTTCAGTTCAATCTGATTTCTCTTTGACATCACTAATATGTTAGGATACAAATGAACAAACCCTTCTGTTTAATAATTTTTAAAATTCTTGGTTATAAATTTGATTTTATTAAGTAAAATTAAGCTTTATCTATCTTGGATCTCTATATGGATTAGCAGCAAAACCGGCTCTAGCACTCGAAATGACTAATACCACACTTCAGATATCCCTTCTTCAAATCTGTCAGTGATGTGAATTAGGAAGTAAAATTTAATAGGCAGGAAGAGGAAAAAAAATCAGTGTTTTCTTTGTCCATTTCCTTCACATTATGAAGTCAGGATTCAATATGTAGAGCTGTTGAATTTACTTCTTCCTTTTTACCGCCTGTGAAACGCATGTAGCAAGGGACAGAGTGTACAGCGGGATGCTATGATGCCCACCTGGCACATACAGCAACATGTTGAGTCAGACTAGCTTCTGGGACCTGGCAAAATAAAATTGTATCTTGTATCCTATGAGCATAGCAGGTGACAGCGAAGGACCATGCAGTGATGCTTCGGAACTGACAGTGCCTGGAAGGGATCTTACACATGATTTTGTTCAGTTATTGGTATTCCAAGTAATATGTAGACTAGTGCAAATTGTTGATTCCAAGTTTTTTTTTTTTTTAAGATTTTACTTATTTATTTGACAGGTAGAGATCACAAGTAGGCAGAGAGGCAGGCAGAGAGAGAGAAAGGGAAGCAGGCTCCCTGCTGAGCAGAGAACCCGATGCGGGACTCGATCCCAGGACCCCGAGATCATGACCTGAGCCAAAGGCCTGAGCCAAAGGCAGCGGCTTAACCCACTGAGCCACCCAGGCGCCCCTGATTCCAAGTTTTGACAATACTTGGTACATGTTTTCAACTCTTTTGCATTTTTATATCCACGACCATATTGCTTTCACAGCCCCCCTCTGAGATAGACAGTTGTGAGAGGTTCTGTTTATAGATGAAGAAAACTGAGATGCAGGCTGATTGCTCAGTGGCCCACGCATTCCTCAGAACCCTGAGATGAGGACCCAGAGCTTTTAACTTCTAAGCTGCTGCTTTCCCCCTACACCACACTGACTAGTGATACCTTTATGAAGGAATTACAGGAAGGCCTACTTTGACTTGAACTGATTTTATACCTTAAAGAACTATATTTTGGTATGCCAAAGGGGATTGGCATTGTTTGCCAACCAAGTTTTTTGTTTTTTATTTTTGCCAACCAGGTTTTTTAAATGCTTGTGGAGTAAAGCCCCCAAGAGAAAAATCTCACATACATAGACAAGGGGATACATATAAAGATATTCAGTGTTGCTTTATTTAAATAGCAAAAATCGGAATTAATCTAAGTGTTGATGATCATAGGACTGAGTAAATAAATTGGTATATATTTATATAACGTAACATTACCCAGTGATTGAAGTGACCGAAATACGTATATGTATATAGTTTAAAAAATCATAATGTTGAGTGGGAGAAAACAATTTTGCAGAATGAAACAGTATATCATTTTTATAAGCAACATACAGAATATGTATATGGCTCACGTGTATGACCAGTATTTTAAAAACAGACTGGAAGGATACCCACCAAATAGTCGTCATTCAGGAAAGGGGAGTGGGATGAAACGTGGGTAACAGAGATTTCAAATAAATAAGGTAAAATGTAAACATTTTTTATTTATTGATATTTGCTTGCTTATTCTCTCAGTTTTAAATATTTTTCATAAAGTTGGGGTCGATGCTGGTGGATAGCACGAGGGGACCTCAAGGGCAGTATCTGGGTGAGGACTATATTCCTCCCAATGAGCAGAAAGAACATGAGATACTTATTTCTGGAAAAACTGTGGTTGGCATTTAAGAAGAACAAACAGAAGTATTAGATGGGCCCATTTGGCAATATTCCTCACTGTGGTAGAAAGGAGGCTTGAGGTCTGGAGGTCACCTTGCCCTGGATAGCTCTATAGCCACAGGGAGAGGGTCCTAGGGCTTGGGGACCTGGACTGCACTTGCTCTTTCTGTCCCCATCACTGAAGTCTCTGAGCACATGTGGGAAGATTGTGAATGAAACATTCTCGTGGTTTACATTCTGCTACAATTTTTACTATATTAATGCCAATGTTCTCTGGATAAATTTCTAGGCATGAAAGAATGCATACCAGAAGACCCTATCATGTGGAAGATGCTGAAAAATACTGCCTTGAGGATGACTTGGTCAATTTAGAGGTTCTGGATGAGGTACTAAATATTTAGTAGGCAGTTCTCACTGCTGACATTTGTTTCATGTGAATGATCTGACCTTTTTCTTGTAGACCATGTTCTCCTAAGGTCACATGAAAATTTAATTGTTTGTATAGCCTTGAGGTAAAGCTCACAGAGCATTTGGTTGCTGTGACTGTGATCCTGTGTTGTGTTCATTTATAGTCCCCCAAGTGTCCTAAATGATGAAGAGGAATTTTTTCCAATAAAGCCCTTTATATTGTAAGCCTAAATGATTTATTACATCACCAGGAATTATTTTCTGTTTTAGAGAAAGTGCAGTTTAACTCTGAAGTCAAGATAGTTGTTTGTCAAAATCTTGCCATTTGCAACGATGTGGATGGAACTAGAGGGTATTATTTTAAGTGAAATAAGTCATTCAGAGAAAGACAGTTATCATATGATCTTTCTGATATGAGGAATTTGAGAGGCAGGGCCAGTGTGGGGAGTGGATCTTAGGGGAAAAGGAAGGAAAAAATGAAACAAGACAGGACTAGGGAGGGAGGCAAACCATGAGACTCTTAATCTCAGGAAACAAACTGAGAGTTGCTGGAGGCAGGGGGATGGGAGGGATGGGGTGACTGGGTGATGGACACTGGGGAGGGTATGTGCTATGGTGAGTGCTGTGAGTTGTGTTAAGACTGATGATTCACAGACCTATACCCCTGGGGCAAATAATACATTCTATGTTAATTTAAAAAAAAGATAGTTGTTTGTTCTTCATAAAGAGTAGCTTTATTTAGGGAAATAGTGGAGGATAATACAGCTTGAGTTCTAAATTTGAAAACTGTGATAATCTCCACTTAAAGTATGCATGTTTAATAGAGCTGTTAATTGCACTGGAACTGCTTTTGCTGATTCTAACTCCAGAGACCTTTAACTACAATGCATGAATCACTAAAGTGTAACATAGAAGTGTTCAACTCCATATTCCCACTACCTAAATTTTAAGTGTAATGCTTTTAGAAAAGAAGTTACTATTTTTTCTATACTTTTATTAAACCAAATTCTAAGTAGAGCATTTTGATTCGATAAGACAAGTTCTTCGTAATAACAAATAAAACCTTGTTGGCTATCTCAATGTCCTTTAGCAAGTCCTAAGTAGGCCTTATTCTTTCAGCATATTCCTATTTTTGTTTTTCTTCTTCCAAGCCAAATATCTTCATTGAAGATCCTTAGGGTCACTGTATGATTTAAATTGCTACTTTCCTCTTTTAGAAAAAAAAATTCTTATGAGACTAAATTTGTTATTTTGAGAATTCTTTCTTAGTTAGAAATAGCGTTTACTCTCAGTACTATCTATCCTCTTCTTAGGATTCAATTATTCGTCAGTTGCAAAAGCGTTACATGGACTTGGTGATCTACACATATGTTGGAGACATCTTAATTGCCTTAAACCCTTTCCAGAATCTAAGCATATACTCTCCACAGGTAAGGGGTGCTGTAAGAGCATGTTACTCCTTAATAGGAAATTAAAAAACCACAAGGGAAAGTGAAAAGAAGGGAAAAACGAGAATAAACTGCTGCTGCTTTAGCAGTGTATACCCCAACCTGCAGAGGATAATACAACACGGATGGCATTCTTCCATTTCGTGGGTAACTTTTCAGAGCAAGATATAATGGTAATAGCAAACATCCAGTTAGTGCTTTCCACTATCTCACTTACTCCTTGTAATCTTATGAAGCAGGCATGATGATGAAAGCTGTTTGGCTGATGAGGAGACCTAGCATGGGGAAGTTAACGCCCATGCAAAAGCTCATGAAACCAGTAAGTGAAGAACTGGGATTTGAACTTATGCCTGCAGACTCCAGAGTCTGTGGCTCAATAGCCTTCCTGATGCTATAATTCCCCTAACAAGTAACAAAGCCTTGGTTTCATGGGCAACAGGTACCGGTGCATTAGATGTCATCTTTAAATTAATTTTTTTTTCCTTCAGTTTTCCAGACTTTATCATGGGGTGAAACGTGCCTCAAATCCCCCTCACATATTTGCAACAGCGGATGCTGCTTACCAGTGTATGGTTACTTTTAGCAAAGACCAGGTAAGAAGTCTCCTTCCTTCCCTGCCAACTCATCCAGTAGGACGTGTACTGTCTTCCTCTGCAGCTCTTATGTCTTCCTGAAAACTCCATTCTGGTTGCTGGTGCTGATTCAAGGAAATAGAAAATGAAACAGTAGCTCAGTGGTACAGGAATGGTGGTAAAGTTACAGCAGCCAGAGAACGTGAAAATTCTTTTGGAGTTACATGAAGCATTGGCATCATAAACACTCATCTTCCCTGATAAAATGTAAAAAGTGTTTCTACTATGAATATGAGAACCTAGAGCCAACACAAACCTGATTACATGACTACAACTGAAATAAAAACAGAATGTAGAATGACATAAATGAAATTCCTTCTTATTAAGGTCTCGGAATTTTCATGGTTTGATATTTTTTGTACGAAATATTGCGCACAGGTTAACCGATCAAGCCCCACACCATTTAGCTGGTGAGAAATTGTGGTGGATCTGGTAGAGCCTGAACAGATTTTAAATTCAATGCTAGTTAACTACAAAGATCACCCATAAAGCTTCCCTTTCTGGGGGAAACTTCAACTCAAGGTGGTGATATATCCAACCTTAACCCTTCCTTTACTTTCACTATGTATATTTTCGTTTGTGTCTTTAGTCTGTTTGAAATACAAGTAATAAGGTGGGTAAGAAATTTTCTCGAGAGAGTTACTGTGTGTAAATTTTCTGACATCTGTGAAGTCCCAGCTTTGGGTTTGTTAAGGAATAGATGAAACTAAACAGCGCGAGTTACAGAATAGTCTATGGATTCACTTTCAGGTTAGAAACTTGGCTTCTCTGCATTCCGACCTTTCCCAAAGACTTGTGTAGTGTCCGTAGATTTCATAGAAAGGGAGTCAGTGGAGAGAGACACATGTATTTCTAAATTTGAGAAGTTTTCCCATTAGGTTTTTTCTGACACTGAAGGTTGTGTCTTTTCCAGCACAAACCGGTTCTTCGATTTTCCAACAGCAATTGGATGCCCAACAGTTTGATTCATTCAATTCTGATACTCATTTCCCAGAGTTAGCACAGATCCCTCATGGTCAGGGCTCAGTCCCAAAGACTGCCCCCATCTCAGAAGCCAGCCACAAAAGGGGTACCCAGGCTACCCGTACTTCTGCGCAGCCTACAAATTCAGGGGTTTCCACAACCGCCCTCAAGTCTGACAATTCACTAGAACAACTCACAGAACTCAGGAAAACACTTTACTTAAATTTATTGGCTTAGTATAAAGGTTACAACTCAGGAACAGCCAAACGGAAGAGATTATCCAGGGCAAGATATAGGGGAGAGGGGTGGTGCAAAGCTTCCATGCCTTCTTTGGGCATGTCCCCTCCCAACCTCTCAAAGTGTTCATACCAGAAGTTTTCTGAATCTTGTCGTTTAAGAATTTTTATGACTCAGTCAATCTCTAGTCCCTCTCACCTTCCTAGAAGTTGGGGTGATAGGGCTGAAAGTTTCTACTCTCTCATCGTGTATTTGGTCTTTTTGGTGACCAGCACCCACTGGGAAGCTATCTTGGGCCCTACGTTGAACCACCTGGGTAGCAGTTAGGTTTGGTTGAAAGGGACTTTTTTTGTGACTAACAAAAGATGGTCCTACTGCTGCTATGATTCAGGAAGTTCCAAGGGTCTTAGGAGCTCTGTGCCAGGAACCAGAGACAGAGACCAAATATATGTTTTTTTTTATTATACCACACCCACCAATCTTCTTGATACATAAAGAGCCCCTAGGAGTGAACCAGACAAACAGGCAAAGGATATGGGCTGTTCACAAAAAAGAAAATATGAATAACTTTAAACATATGAAAAGATCTCAGCCTCACTCATAATAAAATAAATGCAAGTTAAAACTCACTTGGTCTTGAGACCAAAACTGTTCTCTTACGTTTTCGATTGGCAAAAACCCAACATTCCCTATTAGTGAGGCTGTAGGAGAACAGGCACTTTCGGGGATTGGTCCAGTCCTTAGGAAAGCAATTTGGTACTACCTATCCTATTTATAAATGTATTTATCCTTGACTTCAGCAACTCATTTCTAGGAATTTATTCTATAGAAGAGCCTGCATGTAAATATAATGCCCTAAGTATAGGGTCATTCATTGCAGTATACTCCTTATGTACCCATCAATACGAGACTGGTTAAATTGACTCTGGTACATCCATACAATGGACCAAGCAGTGGTGAAAAGGTTGAAGAAGTTCTCAGTGTATGGAAATGGAAAGATTCCTTAAATAAATCATTCAGTGAACAAAAGGAAGGTGTACAGTGGTGGATATTATATGAAAACCATCCCTGAACATCCTGTGCTATGAATTCTTCACTCTCACTCCTTTTTCTGTGTCAGTGCATTGTCATCAGTGGAGAAAGTGGCTCTGGGAAGACAGAAAGTGCCCACCTGATTGTTCAGCATTTGACTTTCTTGGGAAAGGTATCGACCACCTGTTTTATGTGTCATGGCTAGAATCCTTGCCAGTGTAACTGCATATTTTATAAATGATGGAACTACTGGTTTTTATTGGTTGTTATGTAAGAACCTTCCATCTTTATTATGTTTACTTCCTGATAGCAAGGCCTCTTAAGATGTCAGCATGCCATCCCTCTTTCACGTAGTGAGGAAAATAATGCCAGCACGAATTTACTAGATTATCAGCAATTAATTTTTTATGTTTTCAATGTAATAGAAATATTTAGCCATTAAGTAGCAAAAGTGGTTAAACACTAGGAACAGGCTCAGGGAAAGCCACTAAGGCGATTAAAGGGTTGGAAAACAGAAATCTTGAGCAAAACTTGAAGGGAATGGAAATTTTTAGCTTGGTGAAATGGACGTTGAAGGAATGACTTAAAAATAGCGTAGCAGTTTCTTAGAATTAGTGTATTATGAGACTAAGAATTTAAGGAGTATTTTCTACAAATGAGGTTTATTGAACGTTATAATGGATGACAGAGAAAAGTTATGGGATCTCTCTATTTAAAACTCTTTCTAAACTGTTTATGCATTTTATCTGTCAAGGATTTTAAGTGAAGTGAGACTGGATGTAAAAATTGAAAACCTAATCTAGCCCCATCTGATACCTGTGCACCTGGGGAGTTGCTCGTCTGAGAAAACAGTGCTGGTGGTTGATGCTAATTTCCCCAAGTGAAGGTCTTCCCAAAAGGATAATGTGAATTTGCGGGGGGCAAGAGGGGGTGCCTGGCAATTTTGCTAAGATCATATTTCAGGAAGCTCCTCTTGACTGTTGTCTGTTTGGCACAGGCCAATAATCAGACCTTGAGAGAGAAAATTCTGCAAGTCAACTCCCTGGTGGAAGCCTTTGGAAATGCGTGCACTGCCATCAATGACAATTCCAGCCGTTTTGGAAAATATCTGGAAATGATGTTTACACCAACCGGAGCTGTGATGGGGGCAAGAATCTCTGAGTATCTCCTTGAAAAATCCAGAGTTATAAAACAGGCAGTGTAGGTGCATGATTTTTTCACTCTGTTTTTGCTCTGCAAGATAGACCAGGAGGCTTTGGTCATCTTAATGGCCCCGTTTCACCTTTTTCTTAGCATCCATGCCCCCCAACCCACCCCCAGGCTTTCCAAGAACAAGGAATTATTTAAGCAAAGGATAAGTGATAATTTTTAACCTAAAAGATATTTGCAGACCAAGTACAAGGGTTGGGGTGGGAGTACTTTGGAATTAGTATGCCCATTTTTTGGTTATGCCAGGGAGAATTTAAAACATTGTGAACACTTCTAAAAATCCTTAGGTACCAGGGCACCTGGGTCGCACAGCTGGTTGAACATTCAGCTCAGGTCACGATCTCAGAGTTGTGAGATCAAGCCCTGCTTTGGGCTCCACACTTGGTATGGAATCTGCTTGAGATTCTCTCTCTCTCTCTCCCTCTCTCCCTCCCCTGCCCCCATTCTCCCTCTCAAATAAGTAAATACATCTTCAGGAAAAATCACTAGATACCTTAAAATTGAACTATTAAAAAAAGCATTGGTCATATTCCACATACTACTTTTTTTCCCTAGATTGAAAAGGAAAAAAAAAAATGATTTTGTTTTAAGAAGAGCTCAGTCAGTTAAGTGTCTGCCTTAGGCTCAGGTCATGATCTCGGGGTCCTGGGATTGAGCCCTGCATCAGGCTCCCTGCTTAGTGGGGAGCCTACTTCTCCCTCTCTTTCTGCTGCTCCCCGTGTTTGTGCTCTCTCTCTCGCTGTCTCTGTCAAATAAATAAATAACATCTTCAAGAAAAATAAAGGCAGTAGGAAGCCATTTAATGTTTTCAAGCAGAGGAGTCACAAAACCCAAGTTGCATTTCCAATGACTGCTCTGGCTTCAGTGGGGAGAATGGATTGGAGATGCAGTAGGGATCCTGTTGAGACCATTAGGAGGCTGTCTGTTGCCAGATCCCTGTGAGGCAGAATGTTGGCCTGGACTGAAAGCATAGCAGTGGAGAGAGGTGGAGAGAAGTCGATGAATCTGAGAGCTACTGTGCAAGGACAGTCCACAGCACTTGTTCTGGGGTCAGAACTCAAGTGTCCTCCTCTGTCATACATTTGCAGTTTCCTCACAAAATAGGGCTGGCGTGCAAATTAAACAAATGAACAAAAAGACAGAGTGAGAGTTATTTTAGCTTCCTTATGGCTTCTTGATTAATTTTTATGATGTCCCTTCCTTCTTTCTCCCCAAATTAGGGTGATTTTAAAGTTTATGGAGCTACCTCTGACATAATGGAAAATACAGTTTTCTGGGTACAAATGTAAAGTGGTCTTTTGCAAAGATAATATGAAGAGGGTTCCAATCACAGCTATGTCATTTGTTGTATATGTCACTTAATACAGTATCCTTATACCTTACTTTCCTTATATGCAAAAAGGGCATAATAAAATCACCCATACAGAGCTATTATGAGAATCAAATGAGATATATGATTTATACCAAACATAGAATTTGAAACATAATAGGTATCTAATATACCATAACATTATGATTATTAAATTTATTCAATACGACAGCAGTGCTGAGGTAAAATAGACTGAAGTTATTGGATGAGGGAAGAAAATAGGGCTTGTGAAGGTCCTGTTTCACCTAAGCTTTCTTGTCTGCTCCCTTCCAGGCACATGCAGGATTTCCCTTTTAGGTATGCTGCGGTTGGATGTGGTCATATGACCAGTTCTAGCAAATGAGCGTTTAATGGCAAGACCCTCGGCAAAGTGCGAGATGGTGGCTGCTTCATAAGCCTGGGCCCATGAGTGACTATGATGAGCACAGCCCCCTTCCCTTTGCTGGCCTTCAGTGGACATGTACTCTGAGCAAGAAGTGACCTTCTGTTAAGCCATTAACATTTTTGGGATGTTTGTTATTGCAACCAAACCTAGCCAAACCAGATATATACAGGGAAGAAAACCAAATTGAATTTATGCTAGGGGTGGATATTGGTAGGCAATGTTCAGAAGAATTGAGAACTAGAAATATCTGCAAAAAAAAAACTATAAGAAGGCAAGACCAATATGGGTCAGCCAAAGCCAGCATGTTGTTATCAGAGCTTAAAAAATAAGTGGCATTTGTACCAGGCATACTGATTCATAAAGCTCTAAAAGGGCTTTATCATCTCTGTGAATAGATGTATAGTTACTAGATGCTCAAGTTAGATACCTAGGAGGCAGAATCCAGATCCCTTTCCCTCACTGCCTTCATTCATTCTCTCAGAATGTTCTTTTACTTATTCCTCAAAATAGACCTTTAAGCTTACCCTTGTTCCCCATCATCAGTATCATCGCTACCTATCCAAGTCACTTGCTGTCTCACCTGGACCTCCTGATTGGTCTCCTTGTATCCATCGTGGCTTTTTATAGTCTAGTTTTCATCCTGCAGCTAGAAGGTACTTTTTTCAACATGGATCTACTCATGCCATATACTTACAGTGCAATGTCGGTCCAGTTTAAAATGCTTCAAAGAATTCTAACTGCCTAATTAATAAGGTCCTCATTATGGCCTAATAAGGCTTGGTGTGGGCTGGCCCTGCCCAACTGCCCACCCCCTTCTCACTAGCTTTATTTTTTTTTTTTTTAATTTGTTCTATGTGGGTATCATGCTCAGAGCCCTTGTGTATATGTTGCTCCCTGTCTTTGGAATGCTTTCTCCCTTTTTTCTGTAGCTCTTTCCAGGCCCTTCTCATGTTTCAGTGTTTGGCTTAAGTGTTATTTCCTTAGAGAGTCCTTCTCCTGACTTGACAAAAGTAGGCCTAATCCCCCAACACTGTTCTTCGTCTCAGCCTTTTGTTTCAAAGCCCTCATCACAGGTTTCCTTGTTTCCTCAAACTCTGTCACTAGAAGGAAAGCTCCAGAAAGTATGAAATCTCCTAGTCTTGTATTCCTGGCACCATGGTGCCATCCCACCATGATTGGCACTTGGTAAATTTATTAGTTGAGGGAACAAATGAGTACGAAATGGCAAGCAGAGGCATCTAGAATATAGGACAGGAGTAAGAATACAGGAGAAGAGCTTTGATACAATAAATGACCAAAGGAAGACCAGAATACCTAGGAGAAACTGAAGGGAAGAGTGGGGCCCATGTCACAGAAGAGAACAAGGAAAAGAAACAAGATTTCTTTCCATAGAGCTAAGTTGGCCAAGGTGAGGATTTGCCAAATCCTAGGGATATAAACAAAAGAGACTGTCCTCCAGAGGAAGGAAAGGGACCCAGAGCAGGGCTTTTTCAAACTGTCTATGCCAAAGGACCAGTTTAAAATTTCTCAATCCATTGTGAACTAATACCTTGTAAAACATAATGGAAATGAATTATCCAAAAAATTATTATACTCATGGATGTCATGGCAATGTCGCATGGTATAAAATATCTAGACATGTACACTGACAGCAATCCACAGACCACACTTAGAGTAACACAGATCTGAAAGGACCTTGGCCATGATGGCTAAAAGAGGGTGGACAGCAGGAGACCAGGGGACTGGTGCATGCCACTTTGAAAGAATATAGCTTTGAAAGAGTGGAGATCTCAGTTCTGGGACCAATTCTGCTCCTAACTTGCCATAGGACTGGAGACCCACTTCTTTCTGGGGCCCCAGTAAAATAGGGAGATTGGCTGATAGCTCTCTAAGCTGGATAATAGTTGTCTCTTAAACAATGTGGACTACAAATGGAAAGTAAGTGGCACAGAGGCATAGTCATTTGGGCTGTACTAGAAAGATCTCTAAACATGTGTAACCTGAGCTGTTATATATGAATGTTCCATTCTCTGAAACCTCCTTCTGTGTAAAGATAAGTGTGTTTAATAATGTGACACTGTGACAATTACTATACTAATCCTATCACTATTCCTATGCTATAATTGGGTTGTGGCCTATTTAATTTGCATATTTGGAAATGTAAATTTGCCACAGGATAATATTTTTCATAGAACAGAAATGGTATAAATTACTTGAAGCGCAGAAGCAGAATATGTTATTAATAATATCCCCTCCCCCCTTTTTCAGGGGAGAGAAAAATTTTCACATATTTTACTACATTTATGCTGGTCTTTATCACCAGAAGAAACTTTCTGAGTTCAGACTTCCTGAGGAAAAGCCTCCTAGGTAAGTGTCAGGGGTTTTAGTTGTTGATTTTTAATGAATGTGTAACTAGCATTTGAGAAAACTTAGAAATAAGTGGAACTGTTTTTCCTAACTGGATACTGATAGTCTCTTAAGTTGAAATACCCAGGATAAGATGGCGGGAACTATGTCTCACCATTTTCATTTCCGAGAAAGTTCAGAAACTTAACTATAGCCATTTTACTCAGCTGTGTGTGCCATTATTCCACTTCACTATTAGACTGAAAGGGAATTGCCCTGGCGAAGAAGGAACCCAGTGATGGCCTGGTATTCGGGGGCCATTTGCCAACACAATGCTCATTGTATTTGGTCCTACCCCATTTAGGTATATAGCCGATGAAGCTGGAAGGGTGATACATGACATAACTAACAAGGAGTCTTACAGAAGACAATTTGAAGCAATTCAGCATTGCTTCAGAATTATAGGGTTCACTGACAAGGTAAGTGATTGCCAAGAGAAAAAGAAACTCAAATGTTCATATTCTTGGATCAATGTGAGTGAAGATGTGAATGTTCTAACTTGGAGGAGGATCCTTTCTTTTCCCCCGTCATCTGATCATGTATAAGTTCTTGCTCCTCAGAATCTTCACCTGGGAGCTTGTTAGAAATGCAGACTCTCAGGGCACCTGGATGGCTCAGTCGATTAAGTGTGACTTTTGATTTCAGCTCTGGTCATGATCTTAGGCTCATGGAATCAAACCCCAAGTTGGACTCCACACTCAGCGGGGAGTTTGCTTGAGATTCTCTCTCCCTCTGCCCTTCTCTGTCCTGCATGCTCTCTCTCTCAAACAAATACATAAATCTTAAGAAAAAAAAAAAAATCAGGCTCAAAAATATAAAAGGGGGGGCGGTGCCTGGATGACTCAGTTAGTTAAATGTCTGACTCTTGATTTTGGCTCAGGTCATGATTTCAGGGTCGTGGGATCAAATCCCATGTTGGACTCCATGCTGGGTGTGGAGTCTGCTTAAGATTTTCTCTCCCTCTGCCTCTCCCTGTCCTCCCTCTCTAAAAAGAAGGAATGCAGACTTGTAGACTCCCAGGCCAATCTAAGAATGGCTGAACCAGAATCTGATTTTAAACAAGATGCACAGGTGAATATTAAAGTAGAAATACTGTCATAACCGCCTCATACCTGCAAATTGTTCCCGTTGTCACGGTTCACTATAGCTATGATAAACACCAAAGCAATACTGCCCTTTTCTTGAGTTGAGGTTGTGCCAGGCATTAAAGTGAATTGTGTAATAGAAGTATGGGGATATGTAAGTTACACCCAGCTACAGAAATATATTTATGCTAGTAGTTCCTTGTGCACCAAAACAAATTAATTTGAAGCTTTTCAACTTTCTTGCAGTCACTTCCTTCTCTGTGATACACAGATGCACATTACTACCTCTAGCTCTAAGTATTGTACTATTCTTATCTTTCTAGATACAGGCTGTCTCTATTAAATATATGCCAGGGGTGACAGAAGATATTTATAACCCTAGGTTCAAATATTATTCTGTGATACATTTATGCCATAGTTTCTGGGCTTCATGCCATCAATTTGGCAAAATACACAGATTCTTTTGCTTTTCCAACAAAGGTGGTGAATGATTAGGAGGTAGGTGAGATTGTTAAATCTTAAGGGATTAGATTACAAGACACTCCAGTTACCCTGGGACAGCCACTCTGGGTAAAGGATTGCTTCTGTAATCTAATGAGTTTGGCCAGCCCTTCCCTCCCCAGCATGGCTGATTTTAGTCATAATAATACCTTCCTTTTTTCTAAGCAGCTGTTAATTTTCTCTTTTGGCCTCCCACTGACTTTAGACTGACAGACAGTGGAAAATCCCAAAGGACAGATAAAAACAGAACTGTATTTCCCTTGGCTCCTTAGAGGAGAGCAATTAAACAGGTTCAAGCCTTATTAAAGGGCCTTTATGGTTATTAATTTATGGAGCTGGTTATTATCAAGATGCATCACCAGAAGAGTCCAAGCATGGTGGACATGGCAGTAGAGCAATTTAAAGTCACCTAGGTCATGCCAAAGTGTTCAGGGGCATACTGCCTTAAAAGGGTATAGGATAAAAGGATAGAGAGTTAGCCGTAAGGTTAATAATATTTGGCTTTCTGGGTGCCTGGGTGGCTCAGGTGGTTAAGTGTCAGACTCTTTATTTTGGTTCAGGTCATGATCTCAGGGTCATGAGATCCAGCCCCAGGTCAGGCTCCATGCTCAGTGTGGAGTCTGCTTGAGATTCTCTCCCTCTCTCTCTCTTCCTTCTGCCCCTCTTCCTGCCTGTGCGCAAGCACATTCTCTTTCTCTGAAATAAAAATCTTAAAAATATTTTGCTTTCAATGAGTGTAAAGATAGTTATAGAATACTGTGAAGAGATAGGTCCTAGCTCTAAAAGAGGGTTATAATGGCTCTTTTCTAATAATAGAAATACAGTGCAAATAGTAATCAAACAGATGCTATTTTAAGAAAACAAAATTAAAAACAAAACAAATTAAATATGTTACATATGTGTCCTTGAAGTAAGCGGTCTCTAACCCTTGTGGAAGAAAAGTGGAGTAGAAATGAATGAATGCATGAATAAATATGAAAATAAAGAAATGTAAAAAGTGGTAAACATACTTGATTTCTGTCTGATCTGGACTGTAAAATGAATAACCAGAATTTAAGTGTATATGTATGCATTTATGTCCATGTCCCATATTAATTCATACTGGAAATAAACTTATGTCAGTTAGCAACCTTGGAAACAGAAGGAAGAGGCTGGCTCATATCTCTCTAAATTTTTTGGTTATATCTTTGTCTGTGTTTCTACAGACAACCTTTTTTTTGCTGAATTCACTCAATTCACTTTATAAACTCAAAATAGTTTGGCTAAATTCAGAAAGACTCAGTAGAATGTAGTCAGGGAGCAGATGCCAAATAGCTGATGTATCAGAACCTTTTCTTAAGTTTATCTGAGGGACGTTTCTAGACAGAGCTTAAATGAACTGGTCAATTTAATCAAAATTATGGTCACCCTTCTTTCTTATAATGTCATTAGTTCCCTGCAGAAATGTTCATAGTATTACTCAGATTCTCCCAAACTCTTACAGCAAAATTTTATGAGTAACAAACCTCAGTGTGGACTCGGGAGCATGAATTTTAATTCTGGGACACCAGCCAAAAGTATCTGAAAGAACACTTGACCCTGACTTTACTGTAAAGAAGGCTCCCTGGTAGAAGGAGACTTCCACTAGCAATGATGGCTCTTTGCAGGGGATCGGGCAGGGGTGAGGGGTGGGGTGGGATTGTACCTAAAACCCTATTATGAAGATCCAGGCTTTTGGAGTCCTATTTTTTTTGAGTCAACCATATTATTTTTGCTTAATATTATGCTTGTCTTACTGGTATTTGAATTATCATAACATATTTATATTTAATACTACATGAAAACATTTTTGGTAGATTATCTGCATGATGGTCAACATTGGATATTTTCTACAGATGAAGAGGTTAAGGAGAAGGTTTTGAGATTAGGGCAGAATTTTCTCCCTTTCTTCAAGATAAATGATGAATTTGGGTGAGTATTGCTGAAGAGAACTGAAGGGTTATATGTGAAAATATACATTGGGGATTTCCAATGTCTTAATGACAGAAAATAGGACTTAGCATTGACTTTTTTTTTACACTACTTTATTGATGTGTGATTGATATACACCCCCCCAAATTTTTTAAACCAGTCATTGGCTTTCAAGATACAAATATTCTGAGCCTTTGAAAAGGAACCTGAAGATAGGTGTTGGGATAGAGCGCATAAGGGAGAAGACCCTTTAATTGGATCTAATGTACTTAGGGCAGAATTGGTTTAAAAAAAAAGAGAGAGAGACCTATAAAAAGGAAACAAGGTAAAGAGACACTGAGAGGGCAGGTCAGTTCCTAGGAAGGTGTTGGGAAACAACTACCATGAAAGGGCTGTAAACCATGCTAGGAGCAATTTCCTTAATCAGCTCCAGGCTAACAGAAAACCAAGGTGCTTTTCAATTTTCTACTTAGCCTCAACTTTATTGAAAGAATACCTAAAACAGGGAAAAGAGTGTCTCTGTTTTAAGAAAAAAGGAGGGGCACCTAAATGGCTCAGGTCTTGATCCCAGGGTCTGGGATAGAGCCCTGCTTCGGGCTCCCTACTCAACAGGGAGTTTGTTTCTCCCCCTCCTTCTGCCTGTCACTCCCCATACTTATGCACGCGCTCTCTCTCTCTCTCTCTGTCAAATAAATAAATCTTTTAAAAAAATCTTTAAAAAGAAGAAGAAGAAAGCAGCAGCAGCAGCAGCAGCAAAGACCCCACTTCTACTGATTGTTGGTGAAAACGCATTCATACTCACCAGCAATGAATTGGGAAACCAGCTAGAGGAGTCATTAATCTTCTTGATAGTATTTCCTGTCCTGAATGACATTATTTTGGTTTATCATATAGTAAGTTGGAAACCTAAGAAATAAAAAGATAGAGCATCATAGCAAGATTTGGTAGCAAAGGCAGGGATGCCAGGAAAGGCTGCATAGCTGGAGACCAGGCAAGAGGAAATAAGCAAAGTGAGGAAGGTGAAAAATCAGGCTAGTGTAGGAAGAAAAGAAGAGGCTTGATCAAGAAGTTCTGTGTGGGGGTGGTGGGGGAGGAGAGGTATAATCCCTCAGATGAACATACTACTGATTATCTTCTACCATGGGTGATGTATTGATCAAGGTAATGAGGTCTGTCATGTTAAATCCAGACGAGTCCCAGAAAACCCATTTAGTAGATGTTCTTCTTAGCCAGTCTTCAGTTGTGTGATTAAAACAGTGATTTTTGACACACAAAAAAAGACATCTTGCCTTTGATTTAGAAGGTTGAAGAACAGTATTTATCTGTAGTAGAAGCCTGGTTTAAAATCCTCATTTGTCTTTGTAGCATTATCAGGTATCCAGCAGATGTCACTATTACAGTCTGTGTTCAGTGGAAGGCTCACTTTGGGAATAGTCCTTTATCAATGGTCTAATGACAGTTCCTATTAGTTTGCTGCTATGTATAGTACTAAATCAAGTTTCTCACTTGAGTGTATTTTGTGGAAGTACTTTTCTCCATCTATAAGCATAAGATGCAGAAATTTCCTGGCTGCATATTTGTCTCACCTACAGGAAATGCATATGCTTAAATAAGTAAATACACTTTTTTTTTTTTTTACCATTAATGCTACTTATGTATTTAACTTTCAATATAAAAATAGGACTTAGATAATCTACATTTACTCACAATATGACATAAAATGCATGGAGTTTTTTTCCCCCTCACACCAATTCTCCTACAATTTGGTTCATTTCTGATACTGTCTACCTGGAGTTAACATCAGATCACACAAGTTAGGGGCTCAGTTCCACAAGATTGTCCCCACTTCCGACACTAATTGCAAGCCCTAGGGTTCACCTACTGACCAAGTGGCTATAAAATGGGAGGTTTAGAGTTCCAGGACCCCAAACTTGAGTTTAATAATTGGATAGAAGGACTCAAAGAATTTGGGAAAACAGTTTCTTAGTATTACTGGTTTATTATAAAGGATGCAACTCAGGAATAGCCAAATGGAAAAGATGCATAGGGCAAGGTAATGGGAAAGGGAGTACCACCTTCTCTCACCACTTCTCACAACCTGAAAGTATTCTGGACCTCATCGATTAGAGATTTATTCCATTACACAGGAATAAATGATTAAGTTATTGTCAGTTGGTGATTCACTCATGGAAGTCCATGGTTCAGCTAAAAATTCCAACCCACATGTGTGGTCTCTAGCAACCGGCCCCATTCCCCGAGAGTTACTTCATTGGCACAAACTCAGTTACGGTTGAGGGGCTTATTGTGAATAAGAGGATACTCCTTTAACACCTGTTACTCATAATTCCATGGGTTGTTTAGCTCTTGTGCGAGAAATCAGTATGAAGACCAAATGTATGTTTTTATTATATCACAATATCACAGATAATTTCTAGTGAGTCAGAGTATTTCCCGACCTCATTCATTAATCTGTACTCCATTATTTAACTTTAAAATGTTCAGTGTCCCTGATAACTATTTCATAAAAGCTATATTCAAAAGTGGTAAAGGAAACATCTCTTCTTTCACTTTGAAGAAAGAACATACCTGAATTTAGAACTGGTATTAGGGTAAATGGCTAAAAGTGGCTTAAAGAACAAAGAAGATCAGTGGTCCCTTATGGAAGAATTTAAAAGTGAGAGGTTCATGTTGCAGAACAACTTTGTTCCATGCAGTCATTGGTGTCAGGAATCCTAGACAACTGTGTGGGAGGCTGGGTTGTTGGGAGGTCCAGCCATCAATAATGGGAAAGAAAAAGCATGGAGGAGGCATGTTTGCTTCTGTAAGGCTGAGCTCTGAATTCGCCCACATCATCCTACTTGCTCCTTTGTTGGGAATTGAGTTCCATTGCCTAACTGCAAGGGAGCTTTAGAAATTTGTTCGTGTGCCCAGGAAAGAGGGGGTGTTGGACTTTGGTGGACAGCTAGCAATGCTAGTGGTTTGTTGGTTGGATTGACAGTGACCAAACACAGTTCTTGCTGTCCTTTTCAGGAGGTGCACTCAGTGTACAGAATTTTGGCTGGGATTTTGAATATTGGAAGCATTGAGTTTGCAGCTATTTCCTCCCAACATCAAACTGATAAAAGTGAGGTGCCCAATGTTGAAGCTTTGGAAAATGGTAATTGTTTGATATCTGTGCCCCGTGTAGCCAAATTGCATGTTTCTTTCACTTTGGTAGTTTTCATCTTGGTAGTTTCTCAAGATGCTGTGAAATATAGTGTGGGTGTTTTCACTAACTAGGATTTTCCAAAGGATGACTTGTGGAACATCAGTATTCTTTCCATAAGCTCTGCCAAAAAGAATTCCACAGCAGGTCTGGCAGTGGTGTCAACACTGCCTACTTTTGAAAATCATCTACAATTTTTTGAAAAAATGCAAGAGGTGGATCCCTGTCTGAATCCACTGTACCAGCAGCTGCAGGGGACAAGCAGGCACCTGTTTAAAGTTCTAAGGATAATAATGGTGACACAAGGAATGAGAATCCTGAATTAGAAAAAAAAATGATTTAAATAAACACCTTTTGTCTTAAACTGCAGCATCTTTCACTGCCTTTAATAAACTAAGATGCTTCATGACTCTTGAATACAGTCCCCAACTCTTTGACCAAAGACCATCTCCTCTCACTTTTTCTTATCAAACACCTGTGAAGAGCTTTCAGAACCACTTGGGAGATGCTGTATCCATCCAGATACTTCTTGGGGTTAGGGACCTGGCTTCTTTGCTTTTGCATCTGAAGTGCCTAGGCAGAGCCTGGCACATCGTAGATGTTGAGTCAGTGCTAGCTGAATGGATGGATGGATGGATGGGTGGATGGATGAGTACATTCTCTGGTGTCATCATTACCCTTTATTGCAGCTGCCTCCGTTCTCTGCATCAGCCCTGAAGAACTCCAAGAGTCCCTTATTTCATACTGTGTGGTCACCCGTGGTGAGACCATCGTCCGAGCCAATACTGTCGATAGGGCTGCGGATGTCCGAGATGCCATGTCCAAAGCGCTGTATGGGAGGCTCTTCAGTTGGATTGTCAATCGCATCAATACACTCCTGCAGCCAGACAAAAGCATATGGCAAGTTCCCTCGGGAAGCAGAGGACTTGGGAGAGCTGTCAGTGGCCCCGATATCTCTCAGGATGTGCAAGAGGAAGTGTTAGGTCCTCTCCTGAGTTTCCTTTAGTGAAGCTCTCAGGTCTTTTCCTTTGAAAGGAGAAGAGGATCCAGGAGAATGGAAGAGGCACATGACTGACAGCTATCATAGTGTAGTGTTTAAGAGAACAGGCTTATCTGGGAGCTGGGCCAACTGGGTTTGCATTTTAGCTGTATAGTTTGATTGGCTCCCATGTTCTAAGTCACAGTTTTCTCCTCTGTAAAATGAGGGTAATACTATCCTCCTCATAGTGTTGTTTCATGAAAAGTTTTAGAGCTCCGTGTCTTATAATATGATTGCTGCTGCTACTACTACCTTTTCTTTCCTAAGCGTTAGTGGTTTCTATGTTGTGGAAGAATTAACAACATCAAATTCTAGATTATTCTTCCAATTAAGCCCAAAGGGTGGGAAGGTTGAAGAATGAATGGGCAGCAGTTCTAGCCCCTTCAAACCGAGTGGTTCCTCCCTAATCTCTATATGGAGCTTCTGAGTGAGATTTTAAAGGACTCTACTGCTTAAAAAAAAAAAAAAAAAAAAAGTTGGAAATACCATTGAAAGACTGTAGGAAGGACTGGTGTAAGACACAAACTGTTTCTTCCCTTAGAGGCAGCTGAATGCTGCTTTCCACAGGTGGTTGTGTAAGTTGGTAAACGCGTGGGCCCATACATTTTCATCATCTTGAGATGAATGTTTCCTCCCCTAAAAGGCTTTTTTCTTCTCTCTCATGCAGTAGTGCAGATGATGGTATTAATGTGGGGATCTTGGATATTTTTGGATTCGAGAACTTTCAGAGAAATTCATTTGAACAGCTCTGCATAAACATCGCCAATGAGCAAATCCAGTACTATTTCAACCAGCACGTTTTTGCTCTTGAGCAGGTAACAGTGAACTCTGAAGTAATTAAACCTGATGGGGAAGGTGTCTCCAGGCTGCCCATAATTTGAAGCAGAAACCCTGTTAGGCTGACAGGTAAAAGAGTCTAAGGAAAAAACACTGGTGAGACAGTCTATCAAAATAAATAGCTGAAATTTGCCAGAGAAAAAGTCTTGATTTCTGTGGAAAGTTACATTTCCTCTCTTGAGTGGAGCTGGTGACAAGCCAGTTATTTAAATGTTGCTTCCAAACTATTTCATACATACTGTCCAAAATGCTACATTCTCTTCTACTTTATTTGACTAAAAGCATCTGTGTTGTGTCCAGAATGACACAGGTTGGACTTGAATTCAGGGCACAGATTCTTGTGTTTCCTAACTCCCAAACAGGCTTCTCCACCCTCCACCTCCTGCACACCAGATCCCACAGTAACTTGGGAGGGGGAGTGGCTCCAGGGAGGAGTAAGCTATGTTCTTGGTTTTCTCCAAATGAAAGTCTTTCCCTTATGAGGTTAATGGTAAATAAAACAGAGTGTGAAGCTCATATGCCCAAAGGCTAGGAGGCCTTCCCCTCTACCCCAGTTTCTACCCCAGCCCAAAACTTTGTCCTGTATGAAGTAGTTCAACAATGAAATATTCTGACTGAACCCTTTGCTTTAGGAGCGAAGACACACACACTGTACTGTGATTACATAAACACAAAGACATGGAGTAAAAATATCAGTATTGGCTTTATCAGTGGAACTGGATACAGCTCTATCACTCTCCTCTCCCCTCCTACCCTGCGTAAAACTCAACCTCTTTTCACTTAGCTCCTTGCATTTATTCCCTGAGGAATCTGGAGTTTTCTAGTTTTTCAGTCCGAGATGATTCCATTATAGAATGCTTTACAGAAAATTAAAGTCTGCTTTCTTCCTGGTTTAAGCCATATTTATCACCAAAATAATTTTTTTTCAGTTGCCCTTCTATTCCATGTCGGTTTCTAAATTATGACTAACTGAGTTGGTGTTTGGGAGACAGCACTGTCCCTTCTTTTGCTGCTTCAGCTGTCTGCCACAGGCTGCCTGTAGGCCAGACTTACACCCAAAGCTTCAACAGTGGGGTATGCAGAAGAGCCTTTTACTACAGTCCTAAGACAGCCTATTTCCCACATACAGTCAGCATTGCCAAACACGGAAGTGCATGCCGAAGCAGCCTGGTGCTACATAGGCCAGTTTCAGGCTGGAGAGACTCACAATCTATGTTCCTCCAGATGGAATATCAAAATGAAGGTATTGATGTTACACCTGTGGTGTATGAGGACAATCGCCCACTCCTGGACATGTTCCTCCAGAAACCCCTGGGACTGCTTGCGCTTTTGGATGAGGAAAGTCGATTTCCCCAAGCAACTGATCAGACCCTAGTTGGTAAGTGTCTCTTGGAAAAGGCATAATACTCTCAGGAGAGAACTTGATTCTTTGGTATTTTGACTTGGTATTCTGGCCCTCCCACTAGGTTGTGCAAGTAAAGAGCCTGTTTTTAATGAATTGATATCTTCAGCAGATGTCCTCATAGATTTGTGTTTTAAGGCAAACCCATCACCAAGCCCTCCTCACTTTCCTGTTGGTGCCAATATCATTTTTATACCTTCTTCTCCCTTATTTCCTATAATCAATACTTGCTTCTTGTCTTTTTCATACCCTTCTGTCATGTATCTGCTTGGATCCATCCATGTCTAGTCCAGGTTTGTATAGGAGACTCTTCTGGTCTTTGGCCTCTAGGTTCATACTTATCCGCTCTACCCTAAACATCCCAGCTGATTTAGTCTTTCTAAAACCTCCTTTTCATTAAGTTACTGTTGTCTGTAGGATGCCAATAAGACACCTCCTCCTGACATTAAAGAAGGCCCTCTACATTTTATCCCTATTCCTCTAATCATCGGTGTTCCACGCAATCTCATCCCACACTGAGATTGTGAGATATTTTGGGCAACAAAGCACCAATCTTTGCTTTCTACTATCTACTCTCAGAGCAGTCAATCCCTTCAGTTCTTAGCACAGTTCCTCACGCAGAGTAGACCCTGAGTTACAACAATAGCAAAAATTATTTATTGAGGGAGGAACAGAAAGCTCCAAGCCTTTCCCCCAGATAGAAAATTGATTGGTGGGAGAGATTCCCTTCTAGGCATTGAAATTGTCACACTTGGTGGTTTTCTTTTACCTATAAAATCATCAGAAGTTGCCACAATAAGTTCATGCCAGGTTTGCTTGACTTCCATGGGATATCTTTATGGTTCTAAAGTTAATTGACCAGAGTTCTGGTGTCATCAGTGTCCATGCTAGGAGTTCTTAGAACAAGAGATCTTAGGGCATAGCCTGACACTGAAGACAACATGAAACAACTAAGCAAAGACTTGACTGTAAGCCTGTGTCATTTTTTTCCATCGTTGTACATACAGTGTTAACCTCAGGTTGCCCTGAATATCCCTTATTCTGGGTCACTCCTGGCTCAAGGAGCACCTCTTTGTTTGAAGGAACTGACAGTTCTCATTGTAACTTGTAAACATGACAATCCACGCAGATAAATTTGAAGATAATCTACGAAGCCAATACTTCTGGAGGCCTAAGGGAGTGGAGCTGTGCTTTGGCATTCTGCACTACGCTGGGAAGGTGAGGCCAGTGTGTGTCTGTGTCAGTAAACTTGAACTGGACATGGGGTAAGTGTCCCTATTAGCCTGTCTATGCTGCTCACAAAATTGCCTGCCAACTTCCTTCTCCTTTCAATTCTTTAAGAACGCCTAATCATAATTCCCAAACTTTCTCCGTGGTTCTGCTTTCAAAAAGTCGCCCCTAGCCAAAAGCCATTTCTTGCTGGGCTGGCTGCGGTGCTGCCTTCTGCTTCTCACCTGAGCTTTGGCCTAGAAGTGACAGCTCTCCAGAGGGAAAATGTGGTGTTGCGTTCACAGTGCTGAGCCCTGAATGTGCACATTCTGAAGTCACTGGGAAATGTGCAGGGAAAAGAGGAGGGTTAATATCACAGTGTGGCTCAGTTTTTAGCACTTTCTGTGTCTACAGGGCACCAAAAATGTCTAGACAGAAAGGAAGAAAATTCCCTTCATCATCCAGATGTTAAGCTTTTTTAACACTAACCAAAATTTCCACCTTTCATTATTTATGCCTCAGTCTCATTTCAAGTTTCTGAAGCAGAGGAAGCATAAAGTGACTAATTTAGGAAATTCTCTGGTTCTGCAGCCAACAACTCATTGCTCGAGTTACTCTCAGAGGAGTCATTGAAATTATGGCTAATTTGTTCTGGTGGGGTGTGCTGAGGACCTGGGTCCAAAAAAAGGGTAGCAATTCAACAAAAGATGTTTTGGATTATATTGTTGATTCAATAGTAAGATTTATTGAAATTATCTTTTATATTCATATCATGGTATTGAAATTAATTTTATCTGACTGGAGGTTGGCTGAAAGGCATTCTAATATAAGTAAAGAGAATTGTTTTTCTTTCCACATAGTGCATAGTGTATATTTTGGATCTTTGTTAGAAATTGCACCCCATTCACTGTAGTACTGATGTCTGACCATGTATTAATGTCCTCCATGTCTGGGATACCCTAATCTATCCTGAGCCCTGCCCCCATTCCTGTCCTCTTCCTCGCACCTGCCCATCTGTCTCTATGTTCTTTTACTCCAATTTCCTATTCACCCATCTTCCAGTTCTCTCTCTTCTTTCTTGATTTTAAGGGGTGGGGGAAAGGATTGTTTTCTTTCTGGGCTTAGTGTCCTTTCCTGAATTCATTATTTCTCTGGAGTGTTCCTTAAAATTTCTGTGACCTGGATCCCTTCTGTTGTAAGAGCTGAAAATGGCTCTGCATCCCTGAGCAGTCACTCACGTGCAGTGAGTACCTTGGGGAGCTATGACAGTCTGGTGATTATGAGCAGGGAGCCCAAACTGCCTGGGTTTGGAAGTCTGCCTGCCACTTGTGAGATGTGTGACCACAGTCTGTCATGCAGTTTCTCGCTGAGTCTCTGCCCACCAGTAAAATGGAGATAGGTGCTTTATGCACATAGTGCCCAATCTGTTTTCATAGTTATTCTCACATGATATATCTTTGTTATGCCTCTTTTCTTCAAAGCACACCTGAACGAGAAGTTAAGATAAATTGGCTTGTCAGAAATTACAGTTTTTTCTTCCCTATCTCATGGTCTGGATTTAGAAGCATGGCTGTGTCATGATAAAGTCAAGATAAAGTCTCTATATGGTCAGTGAGTGACTGACCTCAGGCAGCTTGCCGGTGTCGCTGACATTGAACGACACTGGCTAGTTTGCTATTTGTCGTTTCTGTTGCAGGTATTGTATGATGCTTCTGGGGTTCTGGAGAAAAACAGAGACACGCTCCCCGCTGATGTGGTTGTGGTCCTGAGAACGTCAGAAAACCAGCTTCTGCAGCAACTCTTCTCGATTCCTTTGACCAAAACAGGTACATGGAGCCCCCTGACCTCCCTGGGCCTGACGCTTCCATAGGCACTGCTGGCGTTTCCTTGTCCGTGTTGAAATTCGGCCAGGGCTGCACTACTACCGTTTGGAACTTTAAGCAGGGGTAAAGGTCCATTTAACTAACTTCAAGAAAAGGAAAGTGATTGTGTCTTTTGCAGTGTAATCGCACAGCATCAGTGTATATGTGCTATGTACACACACACACACACAAACTTTTTCACTTTTTTTAATGTTAACTCTTAGACTTCTCATTTTCTCTGCTTGCCTCTTTTCATTCTTCCATTTATAAAACCACATGTTATCATTCATTCATGCTAAGCACTCTAGGGTGGTCTCAGTTGACCTAGAATTTTGGGGAAGATCATTCCTGTTCATGTATGATTCTAAGTGAAGGGAATGTGGGGAATCCAAAGGTCACCCAGTTGTGGGCTCTCAGAGGTCACGTGTCCCAACTCACTCCCCAGTCAGTGACCCCACCCCCCACTCTCCTAACCAACCTAGAATAGGTCCATCACTGGTCTGCATGCCTGGCTACTCATAGCCACCTTCTGCTCAATGACTTCTGTTTAGCCTCTCATTCAGTTCTTAGGATGGGAAGCAGAAAACTGGGGCCAAAGAACAGCACTTCCCTGTCTTTGCTGTTTTGCCAAATAGATTCCCATTTGGTCAAGTTCCTTTGATTTACCTGGGATCTGCTGCCTTTGGCTGAGCAGCCCACTAGGCCTTCTCACAGCTTTCCTCTCAAGGACGTTGTGTTCTGAGGGTCTGTCTGGAAACAGCTGTGGGTATGCTTTTATGAAAGTAGGAGGAGAAGCCTCTTTGTCATTGTTCATTATTTCCTTTTCTTTCTTCCCATGTCCCTCTTGAAATCATTGGCACCATGTCTAGTTTGGGGCCTTTGTATGTTAAAAGGGAGCGGCTGCCAGGTCTGATTTTTAGCAACAAGCAGAGGAATGAAAAGCTTGGCTAAGAAAAAAGCCACAGTCCACAACCTTTGCATCATCTTTACTCGGAAAGAAAGTTGAAACCAGTTCTTAACTTTCTTCAAACATGCTCCTTTAAACAAAAATAGTAGGGAGCCCATGAGAAAGCTGCCTCTGCCTTTCTTTCCATACCTCCCTTGGGCAGAGCCAGGATTTGATTCATTATCTCCTTATGAAGACCTTTACCCTCAAACCTTGGTTCTAAAGAGATGGTGCATCCTACGTTAGAGGTCAGGGTGGTAATCAAGCTTCTAAATTGTAAAACACTTATTTTTGGTTTTAATGTATTACAGCTTTGAAGGTGGGAGGATTTTATTGGACAGAAGTGGTTTCTTTTGTTTTTGCTGAAATTACAAATACTTGTTTCAGAGTGGCCAGATGTGAGCAGGGCTCCCTCACCAGACACTTAGGTCTAATCAGGAAACTTTTGTGCAGGGGCAAAGATACAGCCATCACTAATACCCCTAATACGTACACTTTGAAGTGAAATATATCCAAATGACTTGTCAGTTGGCATTTATACTCTGTCATAAATATGAGTAACGATCTGTCAAATCTGTTCACAACTCTGGAATTTCCAGTTTTTCAGCCATTGGCAAAATAAAAACAATTTCGCAGCCTGGGCCACTAGGTGGCGTGATGCAAGAAGTCAGGCTCTGCCGGCAAGCCTTGTGTTTGCCCTTGATCGCCTAAATGGGGGAGACAACAGGAACAAAGAAATAGACTCTGCTTTTTTTTTTTTTTTTTTTTTTTCCCCCTGAAAGAGCTTTCCTCCTGTCTTGTAACTTTGTGAATCTTGCCTTCAAACTGCATTCCATACCTCCTGGAGGAAACAAAAGTAAAAAAGAAGACTGGAAACAAAAATGTTTTCCTAATAAGCTTCCTTGTATTCCTGAGTCATGCATTGTGTATAATAATTTCTTTTGAAATCCTAAGCTTTATTTTCTCCACATTTTGAGTACAATTTAGAAGTGACAAAAACACATCAAAACTAATAAGCATAATTCTTTTTTCTTTTTCTGAAATTATTCATATAAAAATCCCTTCAATCAACATTTATAGAACAGCTTCTAATAATAAGACACCATTTAGGCAGCAAGGAGGAGATAAAGATAAAATGGCTTTGCCCTAAAGCAACAGTAACTTTCCTTTCCTTCACTTTCTTTCTAGAATTTATGTCCTTATGATGATATTTGCCGCCAAAATCAGTTCTAAGGAGATTGTGTATCCAGTGTTGAAGGACAGAATATTAAGATTCTAAGTTTTAAAACATCCATATTCTATATTTTTTGGTTTTAGTATATTACAGCCTTTGAAGGTGTGAAAACCTTCCTGAACAGAAATCATTCGTGCTGTTTTTACTGAAATTGCAAGTACTTGTTTCAGCACGTGTCTCTTATGAAAGCCTATGTGGGTTGTTCATCACAGCATTCTTGCTGGAAGCAAAGTCCCTCACAACCTGAGTATGCCAATATTTTCAGTGCATGAGAAACCATATTTCTGGTTGTTTTTATTTTGATTTTTACCCTGCTTCAAACTTTTAAATATTTGTTTTATTAAAATTAAATGGGTCACTAGTTCAATGAATGTTGATATAGGTAGTTACTTTTCAAACTTCTTTAGGAGATGAACTGCAGAGAGGAACGGAAAAAATCAAAGTTGGGATGCTTAGGAGGATCTTAGCCCCAGACTTTGAAAAGAGGTCCATCACTGGACTCCTTAGCTTTAAGAGATGAGATGTTGGCAGTGCTCTGGCTCCTGGTCCTCGTGGCGGTCACATCTACCTTTGCTTTATAATATCTGTTATGCTGTACATTTGTTTTGCACACTTTTCTGTACACGCATTCTGTTTCACAATAGCACTTTTTTTTTTTTAAAGATTTTTATTTGTTTATTTGACAGAGAGAGATCACAAGTAGGCAGAGAGGCAGGCAGAGGCAGAGAGAGAGGGGGAAGCAGGCTCCCCGCCGAGCAGAGAGCCCACGGCGGGGCTCGATCACAGGACCCTGGGATCATGACCTGAGCTGAAGGCGGAGGCTTTAACCCACTGAGCCACCCAGGTGCCCCCATAATAGCACTTTTATTTTCCAGGAAATAGGAGATCTTAAAATGCAAAGAATAGCTTCTGTTGTCTAAGATTTCCCATTCTGTTAAGTTGAGGTTTCCTGGTAGCTAGACTGTTGCAGCCCTTGTTTTCAGAAGCAGGCATCAAAGAACTCCTGGTTGACACTCTGTCTGTGGGCTGCTGGGCAGGTAACAATCCCTTCGTTAGTGTTTATAAAACAGAATTATCGGTTCTCTTGGTCTAATCTCTTAACAAGGCTGAGAGGATTAACCTCTGTGTGTCTTGTGTGAAACCATAATATAAAAGCAGAGAGAGTAATCCGGTTGACCATTTCCTGTTTCCCGTACCCACCTTCCTGTTCATGTTATACATCCCCAAATCCTAAAAAGGTTAAAAACAGACCTGTACCCCTGAAACAAATAATACATTATATGTTAGTAAAAAAATAAATAAACATGAACATCAAAAAAATATAGATTCCATTGTCAATTATACCTCAACAAAAAATATTTTTATAAAGAACAAACAAAATGTGGGGTGTGAAGTCAGGAGGCACAGGGTCACCAGGAAATAGGGCTCCTCCCAAATTTCTGTAGCCACCTTAGCAGCAGCCCCTTCCCCTGGCATGCGGCTGCGTGTGGTGAGAGAGATGCTTGTGCCTGACAGACACACTGCCTTTCCAGGGAACTCACTGGCCACCAGGCACACGGAGGCAGCTGCAGGCAGTATGGATTCAGAATTAACGAAAGTCTCTCTTGCCTCTAGATGGGCCACTTCAGACGTGGTGAAATTTTCTTTGTAATCCTTTCTATTGATAGGAAGTTCTCTGAAGATTTCATGGGTGAAAATTTGATGTGGCAGCAACATTGCTTTCTAACCCTTCAGCTGGGACTTTTCAAACTGCATGATCTAGGTAGAAAAACATTAAAAGGAAAGATGTTATAACAAGGTTTCATCACATATTTTCTTGTTTGGGGGATGTTCCTCTTGCTACTAATAAATGAGAGAAAAGTTCAGAAGGCTCAAGGAAAGAAAGAGAAGAGGAGGTTTCAAAAGGAACTTGAAAAATCCATTTCTGTCTTTGAGTTGTGAATTCTGACTTCCAAGTAGGGGTTTGAGGTTTTAAAGGAGTTCGAAACTTGGAAGAAACTAGAAAAAAAGAGAGAGAGAGAGAGAATGGGAATATTCTCTGAGCCTCCAAGTTTGGTTTTGCTTTAGAATCTAGAACTGAATCTGGCTCTGTTTTCTCCTGTCCAGGCTTTCCCAGGTAGTTCCCTTGAAATTTGATTTGAAGTGAAATCAGCATTAAGTTCTCTTTATCTTGACTCCCATTGGTTCCTCTTTGGATTTGGATGAGGGGGGCAAGGCGAGCCCCCGTGTTATATCTGTAAAGGACTAACACTATCACTGCTGAAATACTTGATGTTGCTTGTTCCTCATTCGGTCACTCCCCAAATTCAGCATTCAGCTCTGAAGAGGATGCCTTTTGGTAACTATCTCTGAAAGTTTTCATTTTCTACTTATGGCTTCTCCTCCCTGCTGGCAATTCAGAAAATGGTCTAGCAGGATGAGCTGACTCTAAATGACAAGGTTCCAGGGTCACAGACATGGACAGTGTTTGCCGCCTCCTGAAACAGCAGATCTAATGAGCCGACCCTGTCAGGAAGTCCTGAGGGGTGAGTTCCTCCTCACACAGAGGTCTGCTTCTTTCTATTTAATTTGAGAGTATTTCAGTCAGTAGATAGTTATATATTTAGGGTCTGTCTAGATATGGTGTTGTGCATAGGTGCTTTCTAGAAAGAATAAAAGAAAATCCCAATTTGAATAGTCACCGACAGATAGTGCATGTCCTAAGTCTATAAAGTATGCACAAAATAATGTAAATTCTGAATAGGCATGTAAATCAATAAATGGAGACAATATAAGCATTGTGTC